CTTATTCTTAGGCTCGTGGCCCTTTTTCTTTCATTTTTTTAATTTTTTAAGCCTTATTATTATAACATTTTTATTTTTATTTATACTGAAGATGGCCACATTCAGGGCCGAAACGTTTATACTTTGATTTATTATATCTGACATAATTATTGTAATTCTTTTAATTTTATATACGAATATATTAATGATATTTCACTAACAAGATCTAGTGTGTGGCATATGCTCAACCGTTTTTATTGTTTACTTAAATTTAGAATCATATCTTATGTTATATTAAATTAAACACGACCCGAAACATGTATTAGGTATGGGAATAAGTTTCCGCCCATTAGAGAGATGTCGTTAGTAGCACTGCTCGTGTATTTGATAAAACGGTAATACATGTATTTGAAAGGTGTGTGTTTAAGCTTTTGAGCCCAGTAGTTGATATTCGTTCGAAGCGATTTGTTTGAACTAAGCTTTGAAACAAAAACAATAAGAATGGGACAATAGGCACGATAAGCTGATTCTGCTACGTGACAACGCTATGTCACACGTTGCAAAACCGGTCAAGGAATACTTGGAAGGAGTGAAGTGGGAAATTCTGCCCCACCCACCGTATTCACCGGACATTGCTTCTTCAGATTCCCATTTGTTCCGGTCCATGCTGTCGACCCTTTCTGGAGAGCGATCAATTCTTATGAAGATATCAAAAAATGGCTTGATAAATGAATCGCGTCAAAAGAACAAGATTTCTTCCTTCGAAGAATCTGTTTATTACATGAAAGGTGGGGGAAAGTTGTTGCTTCTGATGGAGCATACTTTGAATGAACTTACTTTGTATTGTTTTGTTTAAATAAATACATCTTTTTCATTTTAAAAGGGCGGAAACTTATTCCCATACCCAATACTTAAATCATCGATAGTAACAAAATGAATTATTTTTCAAAGTGTTCAAACAATCTACTTTATTATTTTGAAAAGGTTTTCCAAGCTTTCTTAGGTAAATAAGCCTTTTTTTTCATGAATGTATGGACTTTCAAGATCATAACTGCATTTTAAAAGTGTCCGTTCACAGCCAAAATTGGCCATTTTTAGATTTTTCCTTTGTCGAACAGTGTAATTATATATATATTATATATATATATA